CCCTTTCCATGGCACTGCTCTCCAGCCTCTCATTCCCCAGTCTACACACAGCCCTTGAAGCTGGAGCTGTGCAGCACTTGCCCTTGTTAAAACTACATCTTATTTGATGCAACTCATTAAATTGGTGAATGTCATCTTACTCAAGCAATCTCCTTTTCTTAAACTCTATATGAAATCTCATCTCCATGCCAAACAACTCCAACTCTCCAAGCCTTTCCTCACAGAAGTGTCCCATTCTTTTGATCACTTCTTTGTCTCTTCTCTTAACCTGCTTCAACAGGTCCATGTAATTCCTCTGCTGTGGACCCCAGAATTGCATGCAGTACTCCAGGTGGGGTCTCACCAGCATGGAATAAAGGGATAGAAACTCCTACAACCTGATGACCATGTTGTTTGGATGCAGCCCGTATACATATGGCTTTCTGTAGTAGTTATTCACTTACTATCTTGGATAGTTATCTGCTTTGATGTTTCTTCCTTTTGAAATTACTTCCATATGCCAAAAATATAACTACTTTAGTTCCTGAAAAGCACTGAGTAGTGAAGGAGAGGAAAATATAGGTATTAAAAATCTTTTAGGAAAATTTATACGGAAAGTTGGAAGAAAACAGTAGTGATAAAAAGTATATTGATTCAGTACAATCAACTTCATTCTGATTTCATAGCTGAAATGCACTGAACCAGGCTGTGTAGAATCACATCAAATTAAATATGTTGCTCTTCTGCACTCTACCTATAGGTAACACTTACGGTTTTGTTGTTTTTTGTAATTAGCAGTAAAAGTGCATGAAAAGATATTGTGCAATAAAAATGAAGACAAACCTGGTTTTATGGGTACACTTATGACAGTTACATTCCTGAAACTTAAAATGGCACACTTTGCCCATATCTATCTAAACTATTTCTAAGGCATCTATCATTTTCATATCTGAATGCCAAAGTCAATGTAAAACATTTACTATGGGTGGGGACAAACGCTGGCTAAATTCAGATGAAAGTACTCCATTTAACTGGGCACATACTTGTATTTATACAGTCACTAATTGTATTAAATGCTGAGGTTTGGGGGTACATGCTTTAAAATAACATCCAAAGAGCACAAAGCCTTGAACATCAGGAAATACACAAAAGCTGGAGAGGGAACAGTTATCAGAGGGGAACACTTACACTGGACCTGTGAATAACAAATCCACTTCATATAACTTAGAAGAGAGGCATATATCACTACTTGCTGTCTCTCAACACACACACAGATAAATCACAAAGGCCACAAATACACTGTCCAAAGTTATACACAATACGGAGAAAACCAACTTCTCAATCATTTTGTGTTCACTTAGAAGTATTAAGGCAGCAAACAAAACTCAAAAAAAACAAGCACATGTGTTCCATGACTTCATCCTTTCAATTAAACAGATATAATTTAGTTGCTATGTTCCACTGACCTTACTATCCTGCTCCAAATATTTATGTTTCTTGCTTTTCCTCCCTTTACAGAAAGGAATTTTTCATAGAAAATTAAAGAAAGCTGACTTTCCACATGAGTTAACTAAGAATGTATGATTTAAAATATCTAAACATCCTTCCACAGATCTTTGGACAGTGTGTGTATGTGAGAGAGAGATCACACACGCTGGATGTCCACACAGATGGGAACTGACAATCTCTTTCCCTGATCTGAAAGCCTTCTCTCCTCACAAATCACAGCACGTGATCAAGATCTGTCCTGCCAAAAGGCCTGAGGTAATCAGCACATTTAAAAAGCTTTATGAAGAGCAAAGCAAGACAATCCAGAAACTGATTTTCTCAAGCACATACCAGAGGTCTTAATTTATCTTGTCCATGTCCAGCTGTAATATATGCTGTGGTGTCATTATATTGGTGAGACCTTAAAGCATTATGAATACTTTTACAGTAATACAATGTAAGACAGATTTGTGAGGAAATGTAATTTAGGTTTGGGTAGAGTTTGTTTGAAATCCTGGCCACAAAATTTTCAAACACTTGTAGTTGCTGTGTTTTTTTCCTACAGACTGTAGACTCACATTGTTTACAGACTGAGAGGAATCCAGGCTAAAAGTTCAAGATAACTAGTTTTAATTTCAGTTTTAGGCAGAACTAACATTCTCTGAAATTGTAAGATATTCAGAAACTTATCCAACAAAAATGAAGGCCTTATGCATCTCTGCCACTTAAGCCCTTCTATTTCAACACTGAAGGCCATACTTTTTCCTCTCTGAAATCCCAAAAGTAGCAGTTTATCTTTCAAGTGTTTGAATGAATTCAGGGGTATAGATAGAGAAGAATAACAAAAAAAGTAGAGAGGGACTTGTAAAATGACTAAAAGTGATAACCCAGTTATTACCGTGAAAATACAATAGTCATGTGATAAAGAAAATGCATTTGGTGTCAAAAGTTCTACAACCCAAGCCATTACAGAGGGTGAGTTATAGACTTTATGATAAAAAAAGGGGGAGAAATAGGTTTCCAGAATGATTCATTAAACTCCCACTCACTTTTTGACTGTATGTGAATGCTGTTTCAAAAGCTTGAAATCAGGGAGCTAGGTACAATCTAAATTAGGGGGTTTTGGCACTCTGTTTCTGTGGTGGCTGTTCAGCGTCACTGCACCACACAGCAATATACTTAGTGTCATACATTTATTTCTTATGCTACCGATATACAAAATCTTCTAATCACCAGAAAAAAAAAAAAAAAAAAAAAAAAGAAAAAAAAAAATTAGTGACATTTTGCAAAGTCAGAACAGCTTACCAGCTTACTGGTGGTTTGAATAATATCATGTTGTTAAAAATTTTAATGCCTGTATGAACAGTGCACTAAAAAAAAAAATATGTATGATATACATGAATGTATATAGAAATATGTATGAAATACATTAATTCAACAACTTTTCTAAAATTCCAAAACCGATTACATTAGAAATACAAGATAAATAAAGAAGAGATGGCCATTACTACAGTGGGCCAAACTAACCCCAGAATGGATCCTTCATAGTACAACATTTTGAATTAAGGTTACAACTACTCCATTTAAAGATACACTCTTTTTCTGTAAGCTGTCTAAAGTGCATTACATGCATATGGAATTAAAACCACTATAGCACCGACGTAGCCAAAGTGTACAGAAACCACAGGTCTATCATCAGTTTTCTGACTTAATAGCCAAGTGAGGACATACCAGTAACTACAGACATGATAATAACAAATAAATTTTGTAGGCCCTTCATATGCCTGTAAGTCTGATCATGTATGTTACTGCTTTGTGACTTCAGAAATACTATTCTTCGCAGGTTCTCAGGTAATTCATTGTAACTTGCAGCTTGACTCTACTTCTCTTCTTGCTGGAAAAAAGCATCATTACTCTGATCAGCCCATCTCATAAATCATAACAATGAAGTACCGATTTCAGGTCTAGTATTTCACATATTTGGGAAAACCTCATGTGTTTTCTACACTCATCATGGTGAAAAAGTCATTCTTCAGAAACTTCAGAAGTGCATTTAAACAAAATTTCATTTTTTATACTGCACGAGCATGAAAGTATTAAGTATTATTATGTGTCTTTTTACGTTGCCCAAATATGTTTTTTAACTTCATATCTGTCCTCTTCATATTTCTGTCATATTGGACTGCCTGCACATGCATAATCACACAATAACCTCCCTCTCTAAACTTTCAGAAATTTTTTTCATTTTACATTGTAAGCCAGATCTGCCTGAATTACTTTTTTAACCTGCACATTCTCATGTATAGAATGTTTTATAAATTATTTAATACAGAACAGCAGCTGGGATTTATGCATAATTGTCAAAGAAACATGAAATATCCTGATTTCATTCAGTTTTCTATTTTACATATGCAGTATCTGTACAGGTTGGTTTCAAAAAAGTGTTCTTAAATTACAAAAGCACATGTTTTTTCTCATGCTCTTCAGGGGTAAAAATATTTTATGCAAGAAGTACTTTAACTACATAAATACATATATAGTACAGATTTAAGCACACTACACAATGTGCAATGCACATACCAATCACATAGCTATAGTGTAGATCTAATTTCAGACAAATTAAGATAAACTTCAAGAGCATATTCATTTGCTGCTTAGAATGCATGACTTATTTTCTTTGAACATTTTTCAACATCCTCCTTTCTTCATACTACATTTTTGTAGAGAAATAATGGAGGGGGGGGAGGGAAGAACTCACAAGCAAAAAACCCAAACATCTCAGGACCATCAAAGCAACACGAATGTGTTTTTGAGTTACAGTAATCTCATATATAACATCTTTTGAAAGAATAATTTTAAAAGTAATGAAATAATACTGCTGTTTTACAGGAGATAGATGCAAAAATTAATGTCTTTTTTAGATTGGATCACAAGCACATCTAAGAAGTGATCAAGTTACCAAAGAAATACTACTAGTCAATCATTTACCAAGGGCTTCCCTTACCATCTTTCCTGTTTATTCTAGCAACTGCTTTAATAAAAATCACTGTTTCACATGAAATATCTATTTCTATAATTCTTCTTTATAATGCCCTTCTTCATTAGAGCACTGTTAAAAGATAAATAGACTTATGTTATTCTTCTAAGAGGCCAAAATTATTAATAAAAAAATAAAATATTTTCAACAGACACATTAAAGAAAAGAATTACCAAGTCACTCTGGCCAGAACAGCATAAAATGAAATAAGTACTTTTTTTATTTTGGAAGGAGAGGAAAGAATGGAGCTGTAACCTAAGAAATCAGAGGATATTTGGCATCCTTTGTACAATGAAATATATTTTTTCTTACTTCATATTAATTACTATTTTAAACTTCTGGACTGCAATTAAGCTTAGCCACAAATTAGACCTGTCTCTTTCAACCAGAGAGATTCATGCAGAGATCAACTAAGAAAGAGAAGCACAAACATCAAGGAGATAAATATTCCATGAAAAAAAAATTAATATTTTATCTCAACCACCTCAGTGCTTACCAGGTATGTGCCACAGTGAAACGACGCTGTTTTGGTATGTTGCTATTTAAAAACATCCTTCTCAAGAGCCTGGGAGAGTTTCGAGGAGAAATAACTGGACATAGCCGGGGAGAAGCAGGTGAAGATTTTTGAGTTGTCCTGGACTTTTCATGTTGCAACAGGTTTTCCCTCAGGGTCTTCACAAGATCTTCATTTAGCCATGGATTTTGACTGTGTGTATTATCCACTTCAGGAACAGGCAAATTCTCCGAACTTGTCTTCTGAGCCATGTTTCTCAAGTAACTTTGTTATTAAGGTCTAACACAATCTAATGTTGGCTTAACTGCTTAAAATATTTCCGTTCTAAATCAGTTCCCAAGAACTGTTCAGAGACCCTGCACCAGTTCAGCCTATTCTGTTTTCAACATGGTGTGCCTGCCCTTAACGTCTTTCTATAGATAATGATCTACAAAGGAAAAAGCAAGCTAACTCCTCCACAGAAACCGATTAAACATTACCACTCCTTTCACAGCCCTACTGCCAAAGATCACTTCTGAGCTATCATAGCAAGTGAGCATGAGAGGAAGAAATTGCTTTAGCACAACCTTTATCAGAGCTGTAAAGCTGCCTGTTAAACTATCGTAACTAATGTGCTGCAGCTGCTTGAGTGACTTCTGGTTATGTACATAAAAAGTGCTGGAGGAGGGCTTAAACATCAGATGTGTGCTCCTTTGTTTGATTATTCTTTCCTTTGCTTATTCCTGAACCTTCAGGGAGATGGAGAGGAAGAGAGACTCCTGAATAACCTCTTATGTTTTTTCAAGGATCTACCATGTTTGTATTTGTCCCCAGGAAAAATTCAAGATTCCAAACTATTACCTCTTAAGCTAGAAAATGCTACAATTAAATAGTGCAAAAGGGCTTAGTTTCTGCCTTCTCCTCCCTGCCCTTAAGCCAGTTTATCACAAGCAGTTTCCAAATGCATTTAGGAAAGTCAGATACTTGCTATCATGTATTTTCAGAAAAACAAACCCAACATTTAAGAGATGCACAACAAACATGACTATGACAGCTACTAGTATGTGTTTAATTAGATATTCTTATTTTATTATTTTCATCATAATATTACCAGTGTTTGAACTAAAGAATGCCTTTTTTCTATTTACAGATGATGGGGAGATAGAATAGCAAAAGCTATTCAAAGAGAACTTCCAGAAGATAAAATGGCAAAACTACTTGCATTTATTTGGTGAATGCATACAGCTAATAAATTCCATATTAATTTTCATGTAATTATGCAAATAAGATATTGGTGCAATTTTATGATACAACACCTTTTTAAATCAAACCTGGGCCTTGCACTTTTTTTCAGTTTTAATAAAATATCTAACTTCATTCATTACAAAAAACAAAGATTTTATAAACATGTTCAACTGTGTTGATAACTCACTTATAGGAGATGAACTCTAATAACAGGAGGCAGGTGAAAATTTGCTTGAAGTTTTGTTTTATAGCAACAGTAACAACAACAGTCTTTTCAGTTATAACCATACTTCCTGTTCATCCTACAGGAACAAAGAATCAACATTTTGTGAGAGAATTCTCTGCAACAGATTTCTTTTTAAAATCAGAAGACTGGTTTCATATAATTTTCATTGTTGCAGTATATTGTTCCTCTTATGCTTTGTCTCAGAATCCAGCTATCCTTTGTGAATAAGAATTTCCTTTGAGGCACACACATCTTGGCTTTCGGTGAGATGAAGGGCATTTACAATTGCATGACCAGGTGTGAAAGGCAAATACTGCTCCCTGTTTCACAGCAAAATCAGAAATCCTGCAAAAGCAGCTTTCTCTCACAATGGAGAGGAATCACCTTTGTACTTAGCACTGAAGCCACAATTCCTGATGAGGATTATGAAGAGAACATCGTGATGCTGACAGGAGTAGATCAGAACAGCAGAGGAAAGGTCAGCTTACATTAAGAATGACATTGCTATCAGGTGCCAACCCCATTATGTAGACAAGTTTTAACTGTACTGCGTCATATGTGAAATTTGATAACAATGTACTTGCAAATTTAACTCAGTATTGAACAGCACTACAGAATGCAAAAATCACTATGCATTATATCTTTGTGTATTTTTCTAAGGTTTTATAGAAAATTTAATCATTATATAAAAATTAACACTGACCAAATATAGAATAAAGCCCAGATATTATTAAAAGTTTAAAAACCACAAAATTTTAAGCTGTTTCATTAAGAATAAAATTAAAACTGGAAATGAAGTGTTATTTCACAGACAGAAAAAGAATTTGACTAAATCATAACTAATACATAACTACCACAATAACTGCTTCCACACCTTCTTGATTGGAAGAGCAGTATACACAGAACTGGTCTTCAACAAGTAGACAAGATAAGAGCATGATATATTAAAAGGCTTTTAACTGGAATGTTTTAACAGTCTCTGTTAGACTGTTTTTTCTCTACTTAGTAAAATGTATTAGCAACTGCATAACAACTCCAAGTACTTATTTTAAATAATGCAGTCTGTACAGACAGAGTTCTCTTCTTTTATGCTATGAAATACTGCCATCTGATGTCTATTCCAAAGCATAGTCTTTTTGGCTATATAAAACTAGTCAAACTGACCAATTGGAGATGAACAATCAATGACACCATTAACATTTATCCTGGTGGGCCTGGAATCACATTCTAAGGTGTTCTGTATTTCAAAGGTAATTATGAAAGATGAAAGCCTTAGTCCACAGATCAGCAGTTTTACTACCCTTGTTCTTAAACTAAGTCAACAAGGGCCTTTCACACCTTGCATTACAAGTGGGCTTGTTACATTTTCAAAGAGATAAGATATCACGTATACAGAACAGCAGGATAAATCTTTTTAATAGAAAAAGTGAACTGTCATTATTTGCATGAATAGCTAATGAAAATGCTTTTCCTGCCTGTGTTAGTAGGTTACATTTCTGAACACAGATGATCATGTTCCAGATACCTCATTTTGGCATATGCCTGCTCATCTTCCTCCTCCTTGCCTTCAAAGAAAAAAGAAAAGCTATGAAAAGTATCAAGCATGCTCATAAATTTAAGTTAAAGCCTGCAGACTGATTTTATTATAGACTAGAAACATGAACAGTCTTTACTGTAGTAAAAAGCAGTGTTCTAACTTCCAGCAATATCAAATACACATTACTAGTGTTAGACAAAATGCCCAGCTTAAGAGTCGGGAACTGGGGGAAGATAAAACAGAAAAATGGCAGTAGCATGAGGGGTTTATGAAAGTACTAGAATAAAGACTTGTAAGAAAACAGTTCCAAAAAGAAAAAATAGCATTTCCAGTTTGCATTAAAAAAAGACAATGATGTACTTCTTTTTCTATAAAGATTGAGAAACATCCCTACTAGACTGTGTTTTAATAAAAACATCTCATTTTCTTACAAAGATCACCAAAATTATTAATAAAATTTTGAAAAACTTCTTCAAGTGAAAAACAGAGCATGAAAGCATAGGGTACAATTAGAAAACTTCTCTAGAGGTTTGAATTAAGATTACAAAAAAATGTATTTTTACACAGCTTTATTCTGATGAGTTAATTTTCTGGGCTCTTTGCTATTGAAATGAAATCACTGAAAATTTCTATTAAATTCAATTTTTTAAAAATTATTGGTTCTTTTGAAATAAAAACATTTGAGAGCTGATACATACCTAATTTCCAAAAGTTAATACTGACAGTGCTTTAAGCATATTGTATGTCCTATTTAAAGGCAACGACAGTTAAATTTAATTTTGCAGATTTTGTATTGTCACATCTCATAGGTAAACGTTACATTAAGAACAGATGTAATTCTGCCCGCTATACATTCAACTAAATCATTATAAAGCTCAAGACAAAAGCATAGAATCTCCTAATAAAGGAAATTCACTACAAAAAAATCTAGAATTGCCAGTTGCTTTTATTGTCCTCCAGTGACAACCAAAAGATACTAAAAATTAAGATTAAAATTTTCAATTCTTCTACTTTTCACAAACTTTCCTAAGAAATATGTACCTTATGAAAAATGTACTTTTAAAAAATACAAGCTTAAAGTGCTTACTTTTCTGTTAATTACAAAGACTTTCTGAGCAGCAGCATATAAAAAGAATAAGTTAATTGGTTCTGTGGAGAATACTGTGCAAGATTAAACAAGTATTTGATCTCACATAAAAGACACTAAACAAGGATTTTAAAGTACTTTCTTTGTACAACTACTTTGAACACAGAGTATGATAAACTTACTTTAATATCTTTACTGCTAATCAACATATAAAACCTATTATTTGATTGTGTCCGTTTTAAATTACCTTGAACATAGTTTTTCTTACTAGACAATAAATGCAATCACTTGGAAGGAGCAGAATATTTTTTTAAATCTTACTTGGGACTGAGTAGAGAATTCCAAACACATAGGAATGCAAGCCAAAACCAGCCCTTCAATGTGTTACTGCTTTGAAAGCAAGCAGATCAGTATCACAGGATCACAGAAGTTGATAATGACCTCCCCTGACCAAGTCCACTCTCCTGCTCAAAGCAGGAGCAGCTGTAAAGTCAGACCACACTGAGGTACTAGAGCACCTGAGAGTGGCACAGAAGTGGAGAGAAAAGAAAAAAAAAACAGAGGTGGTTGTGAAGGATGGCTGGCATGCCATGGTTTAATTTCCTGAAGCAAATAACATAATACTGAAGGAATGGGGTGACGGAAGAGAATTGGTCCAGATAAAGTAGAAAATTAGAATCTTGGATGACAAAATTATTCTTATTTGGAAAGAGAGGTTAATAAATGAATTGAGGAGCATAGTAGTGAGGAAGAAAAGGATAAAAGAAGAAATTATCAGGTGATAGAAATCTTAATCAAATGTTACCTGTCAACATAATCCAAAGTGTGAAAGTGTCATAGTGCCAAAGTTCAACACCTGTCAATTGTCACACTCTCAAAGAGATGGTATGGTATTTATGGATTTGCCGAGTGAAGGGTAATGTTTATCAGACTTTTTTCTAGCAGTTACGTCTATGGCCTGCTGAGGAGACCGTAAGTACCATGCAGCTGCCAACAGGTAACTAAGGAGGGGACTGGTTGCACTTAGCACAGAAATGCCAGGCATCCACCAAGAGATAAAACCTTTAATAGACCAAGGTATGGGAAACACATGCACCTCTAAATATTCAAAGGAAATTCTAGGCTGCTGTTTTAACTTTCTATCTTTGATCTGAGTACATTTTTAACATCCTAACAGAACAACAGTACCTAAAATGGCATTAAAAGACCTTCCAAAATCATAATCAGATACACATACATTTACAAGTATATTTTCAGAAGAGGAACAGTACACATGAAGCTGGTTATGCTATGTTTACCATTATAATAAAACCATTTGCTGTCACTTAAAATTCTAAAACACTTCCACTCTTGAGAAGTTTCTAATAAAAACTTTTTCAGAATATCAGCTCAAATTCACTTTGCAAGTCAGCAAAATGTGACTTCATCCTTTTTCTTTTCCATGTTTGTGAATATTGTCATGATTCTACATTAAAAAAAAAAAAAACACAACACCACCCCAAAAAAATCAACCAAAAAAACCCAAAAACAACAAAACAACAAAACAAAACAAAACAAACAAAAAACAACAACAACAACAACAACAACAAAAACTAAAAAACCCCAAAACAATAAAACAACCAAAACAGCACATATCATGGGGTATTACATCAAAGAACAGGCAGAAATGTTAGGCAGCATTTCTGCAATGCACAAATATATCTGATAAGTATTAGTTAACTCCAAGGAAAGGACTTGGCCCACATGAGCAAAGAACAATTACAAGCATAAATGTCTTTGAAGAGCAGTCCTGAGGAGAAGGGAAAGGAGAGGTCAGTGGAAAGGACACGGCACAGAAGGAACCATGCTGAGTCCAACCCCCAGTCTGCGTTTTACAGGGATATATACTTCATTTAAAAGCACAGCAGCTAAGCAAGTTGTTGGTTGTAATCCTAGATCTCTAAAGACTCATGACAGATATTGTTAGAACCTTCAAAAAACTATTTAGCTTAACCATAGGAGCATAATTTTGCCTATTGATAGCAGTGAATGTATCACAGCTTCGTAAAAATCCAAGGATTATGAAGTATCATAAGTACTTGGCAAAGAGTACATCGACATTCCTGATTCCTTAACTTTAGAGTTTATTTCTCAAGCTAGCACAAGCAATATGTCTTACCAAACAAGATTTAACCCAGGCTCTCCAAGCATGGTGGTTAAGACAGAATGTAATGCACAAATAAACAAGTACATTTCTCTGAGGTCAGACACATGCACAGAGAGTTTACTTTATAAGGAATCTACACCATCTGCTGTATTTCAAACAATTTTTTATTTTGATCATGCACTAAAAGCTGAGAAGAATTCAAAGAAATATTTATAAAATTGTGAGTAGAAGAAAAGAAAAGAAGTCCAAAAGTCGACAGTAAGACTCCATAACTAATTCATTGTCTGGAGATAAGCTACTATTTAATGGCAAAAAAGTAAGGTATTAAAAGAGGAATCATAGCTATTTAACAGGGTTTAGTATCACAGGATGCCTTAGAGCCTAGAGATTCCTTTTTAAGCTGCTGAACTTATTAATGCTTCGGTTCAAACCCATTATTGTAAGCTGTTTTTTAGAAGTCTGAACTTCCTAAAATTTTGAGTAGAAAATAAAATGAAACATTAAAGAATAACTATTCATACAATTCACTTGGAGTAATTCCTGTACCTTTTCTATAGATGTTAAGCTAGCCACGTTGTAGATTTGAAAGAATTGGAATGTAAACAACTCAAAAGATTTTCTTCCACAATGTTATTAAGAATTAGCAACCTGAAAGAGTTTCAAGTGGAAAAAGTTCTTTCCCTACATGGAAAAGCTTGGGATTGTGATACTTTAAATGAATAATACTTTTTCCTTTATAGAATTGTCCCAGAAAGTATGATTTTCAGAAACCTCTCTGGAATCAACATGAGGTATTTGTGTGCTTGCCAATTCTATAGTGTGTCTTTCTTAATCTTAAGTAGGACTTCAGTAGGCTCCATAAACCTTTTATTGAAATTTAATTCAACAGAATTCTTGCAGAATTCTATTCTGCAGCTTTAAATACTCTTACTTTTTTTCTAAATGTATTTGGAAAGATACCTTAAAACTCCTTTTGGTTGCATATACCATATAAATGTTTTTGTATAGTAAGAGATCTGTTTTGTGTGATACTAGAGCATGATGAACAGTATAGAAAGCTAGTATATAAAAAATGTCTTGGAGAATAATGGAAACAAAGTGGGTATATTAGTGCATCTATATAGAAATATCCAAAATAATTTATTGAGGTACATCTTAGGGTAATCGTAATTACAGAAAAATAAAAATATATTTAAATATAAAATATATGTATTTAAATCTGAAATATATTTAAATATTAAAATATATTTAAATCTTCAGATTTAAATCTGTTACCAGATACTCCAAAGGACTGCAGTAGTTTGTGAGGTAAAGAAAACTAGTATATCTAGGCAACAAATATAATTAGCAGAGCTTTAAAATCACCTTACAGACTTGCCAAAATTATTAGTATAGAGAGTTTTTTTCTGAGCCTATGTCTACCGACTTCAAATGGTGACAGACACAATCTCGAGAACTAGGACAATGAAATAAGAAATCATCAGTTCTCTATCACCTCCTACAGGAAAAATTCTAAACCAGAGGAAGTTCTTAAAGCAGAATTAAACAAATCTGTACTAGTACTTCACCACTGATTTAAGGGACACCCATATTTTCAGAGAAGTTAAATGTTTCAAACATACTTGTCAGATATAACTGTAATCAAAATGTCTCTTTTTCATTTATAAAACTGAGGGCAAGAACAATTGTCAGATCTTTATAGAATACATTAAATATTTGTGTTACATTAACACCCCTGGACTACTGACTGAAACCAAATCACACTAACTTGATAAAAAATTAAATTAAAGAGTTGCAATTGCGGAATCCAAAATTCTAAGCTGAATTTTAAATTATATTTTCAGTGCTTCTGTAGGATATTCTATTTAATATTAGCAAACAACACACATAAAGCTCACTAAAAATAACATTTGCCAGCAAGTTGAAAAGGAACTAAGGATTCAGTGGGATTTTTCATATGAATATAAAACATTAAATCTATTAACTGAAAGAGATAATCCAAAGGACAAATCATAAAGCATCTTGATGTTTGTTTAGTTTTCTAATTCTGCTGTTTGTTTCTTGTTTTCATAATGTCTGGGAGTTTTATTATATTTGAGATAATTAGATATCATCCTAAGATAACTATTAAGAATAAATATTGAGTCTATTTATATCTTGACCATCTGAGGCCCTAGAACCTGAGAAGCAGGGAAATGAGGATGTGGATGAAGGTTCTTCTGGTATGGAGGGATCACCTAGGGCAGAGCAGCCTACCCCTTGCATCACAGCCTCCTCAAATGTGAAGAAAAGAAGGGTAGTAGCCCCCTTTTTAGAGGAATGGAGGGCCCAATATGCCAACCAGACCCAACCCACAGGGTATTATCACTGAGGCCCAGGTAAGAGACATCACCAAGAAACTTCCTAGACTGGTACAGCCCATGGATTATTACCCTCTACTGGTTTTCTAAGTGAGCAGTGATGAGGTCCCAACAGAAAGGCTGTAGACAATCAAGATAGAACTTAGGGTCTTGGGACAACTGGTCAAGGGATCTGGAGAACATGCTGTATTCTCACCTGACCTGCCACTTGCTCTGAATGATGGGGCAAGAAACAGGATAATCAGGTGGAAGAACATCTGGCTTTGAGATAGGTGCTACCAGAAAACAACTGAGGTTTTGATCACAATCAGCTTATACAACAGTGAGCCTGTTGGTAAAAAATGGGGCTGTATCAAAGGTAGTAAAGGATCTTAGCTGACAAGCTGGCAGGGAGAGAGAGATCTTAAACCAGATTTGAAGGGGGACAGGAATATTGCCCAGTCTCGAAGAGACAAGATTTTCAAAGGGGAGAGCTGTAGTGACCACCCCAGTAGCAAAAGGAGGCTCAAGCAAGCACAAGCAGTGAAAGACCCAATTACCTAATTACCTCATTACCTAATTAAGACAGGACTCTGAGGCATCCCTTTGCAATCCAACTGAGAAATTGACACAATCAAATGTAAACTAATACTTGAAGCATGGGGAAAAAACAGGATGATCTGTGTGCAATCACAGGACTTCGATCTCATTGTGACCAAAGGAGGTGATTCTACTCATCTACTCAGCCCTGGTGAGGCCTCACCTGCAGTGCTGTGTCCAGTTCTGGCTCCTCAGGATAAGAGAGAGACATGGAGCTGCTGGACCAGCTCCAGCCGAGGGTAAGAAATATGATTAATGGACTGGAGCATCTCTCTTACAAGGAAAACTTGAAAGAGCGCTGGGCCCGTTCAACCTCAAGAAGAGATGACTGAGAGGAGAATTTGTCAATGTATACAGGTATGTGACAGGAGGGTGCCAAGACGATGGACCAGGCAATTCTCGGTGGAGCCAAACAACAGGACAAGAGGCAATAGGCAGAAACTGATGCACAGAAATCCCATCTGGACATGACTAAGAACTTATTTACTGTGCAGTTGGCGTACTGAGCACTGAAACAGGTTGTCTGGAGAGGTTGGGGAGTGTCCCTCACTAAATATTCCAGAACTGTCTGGACACAATCCTGTGCCACATGCTCTAGGATAGCCCTGCTTGAGCAGAAAGGTTGTAATAGATGAACCGCTTCCAACTTTTACTGTTGTGTGATTTTGTCACTCTAAAACCAAAAGGAAAAGAACCCACTGAGAAAAAGCTACGCTCTTCCT